CAAAGTTCTAACAAAACTGGATCATCCTCTGACAATCTCTCTTAATCCATCTGCATGATGATTTTCTCACTAACGTTGTATACCTCTCACACATAATTCTACTGTTCAGTGCAGTTGGACTAGGCCCTGTAGGCTTACCTGCTATCAGAACTACTCCATATCATTTTATTCACATTCATTACAGAAAATAAGTAAACACATAAAAACAAAGAAGTAATTTAGAAGCAAACAGATTTACTTTTTAAAGAGAGCACTTCAACCTTAAACTAGAAAAATTAAGATGACTAACAAGAAGAATGAAGTGTTTTTAAGGCAATTAATATAAGCCCATATTAATCAATTCACCAGGAAAGGAAAGCACTGAAGTGCTAGCCCTCTAGTATAATGGCAAACTATAGCAAGTTCAAACATAATCTATGCACGATGCTAACAAGTGCTTGTGAATCAAATCACAATTCTACCAACACAAACCAATTAAAAGCACCCCACTGAACTCCAGAGTTTGGGGTTCTTCTTTTACTATTTGTTTTTTGAAATCGACGGCATGGATGTTAGATCATTTCAGAATATACTGAAATGTTAACAAATGCTAATGCAGAACAGCATGAGGTATGAGAAGTGGATCAATCCATTACTAACACGGACTCTAAAATGTGCCTTTAATGGTCTCTAACAGATAATGCACAGGTATGAACAGTAGTGTCAATGAAGTTTGAAAATTGGACCATTCCTGGAAGATTCCAAAGACATTGTGATAAAGAGTTACTTTAATTAGTCAAGGCAATCTGCTGCAGTGTACAAGGTTGATCCATCTAACATCTTCACAAGTACTAGATCTGTGGCATTTAGAAGCAGCAGGATTTTGTTGCTCTTCTGCACCTTTCTATTTTGTTTTCTACCACCTCTTCCCCTTTTCTAGAGCAATGCCTAATGTCTGTGTGGGAAATTTACAGCAAGGACAGGAGGTGGGGAAGGTTCCTTAATTTGCTCCTCTGTCTTTCAACCCACCATAAATCTAAGAAGGGTCACACCATTAGTTTTTCAATAATTTTTTTCTTCTTCAGGAAATGACCTAAAGAACAGAATATTGGAATGTGTCCCACTCTCATGATGATTATCTGACGCAGTATCTGACATTCCCCTCACCTCCATTCTATCTCCTTTACTGTCTCCCTTCCTTGCAACCAAAACCATTTATTTTAGCAACCCATAAAAATCAGACTCCATAGAATGTTTAGCTTTTGGATGTATTAATGTCATAAAATGCTGTAAGTTTCTGACTAAAGGTAAGTCAAGCAGATGCATAAAAGAGCACACAGTGAAATACATAGCTACATTTCATAACATTATCTATGAGACCAAGAGCCATGTTAAGAATCATGATCCAGTGTAAGTTTCCTGGAGTAGCACAGTATAAAACAGTTAAGAATAGCTAATCGATAAACCATATCAACAGAAATTAAGAAATTCACATCAAGTCCTCTTCAGAACAAGAAAAAACTAGCAATCATTACAGACCACAACAAAACAATCTACAATACTCAAAAGCAGGAACCAAAGAAAATCCCAACACTTAATAGATTATGACTGACTTTCTATCTGTATGTATAACCTATACATTAAGTTGATAAAAACACAAAGGAAAAGGTATCTTATGATACTGCTTCTTTGACTATAGACTTGGCATGGTTAAATCAGATCTCACCCTGCTGCAGACATTTGCTCCCACTGTGAGAAGTTCAGTTCCTCGAACAACTCCTTACACAAGTACAATCCACCACGAGTAATTGACAAAGGAAAAAAAACCTAATGCAAATTTCCAGTAGTCCAGAAATTAATAATTAACCGAAGCTATACATTTCCTTAATATCAGTGATTTCTTTTAAAAATCAGTCTCAAAATAGCTAAATATGAACTCTGCTATTAATTCTCACACTGGTTTTTATGTCCACAATTTTTCTTATCACAAAACATCAAAAAATTCTTGAAGAAAACAAGGTAATATTTAGGAGACCCACAACAGAATACTGTTAACACTCTTAAAGCCAGGCTATTAGCTTTGAGCCAAGTATAAAAAAGGCAACTGATGGACAAACTGTGTTCAAAGCTAATCCTTCCAGTATTTGCTATTTTCTTAGTAAACAAACTCTACGTGAGGTTTTATCAGACAGCAATCGTTGCATGATGTAAAAACACCTATATAAGGGAAACACTTGACTCATTTCTACTCTAAACTCATCAAAGTGAAAACAAATAAGAAAACACTTGTCCTTCTCTAAACCTGGATTTTCTTCCTGTGGATGCTCATATGACCACATGTCCAAATACTTAATGTGCTCATAGAAATACATTAAAGGTTTTTTTTACAGCTACCATCTTACACATGCTGGAACTTACGTTTGTGAGAGATCTAATTCTGCAGCACATAAATGCGATATCACTAGAATTCTCCACTGCCAAATTGAAAAGCAATAGAGTGGAAGAGCTCCCGTAATACAGAATGTTAAAAATAACCTCAACAGTGAAGCAACGGCAAAGATTACAAGGGGTTGTTTCTGTATTCTTACAAAATATTAATTATTAAAGGCATTCAAAATATGTACTACACATTAGCAGTATTTTATCATGAGCTTACTATACACTAAAAATATAATATTTGAATATCTGTGCCTCTGTCATATAGAACAAACTGGCTGTAATAGAAAAAAAGAAGTGTCAAAAAATTGTAAAAAAAAGATTGAATGTTTTTCCTCTGATATCACAACAAGTTACCTGATTTACAGTATCAGCTATGAAAAAAATGAAACAAAAGATTGGCATGCATCTGTCTCCTTTCAAGTGCTAAAATAAGAACAGCTTCAATGCTGATATGTTAGGTGAACATGCCTGAGAACAAGCTATCATATGGAACAAAATAAATAAAACAGAGCAGCCCTCATCCTCCTCTCAATTCACTCATTTCAAAATAAAGTTAATAATAATAGCTATTTTTGAAAGACATGGAAATAATAAGGTAAACAGTAATTCAACATTTTGTAATTTTATAATTCTTTCGCTATCACCATTTTTATTCGTTTAAAGTAAGTCACTGCAGAAAGCATCCACCCTTGAAAGCTGGACATTGCGGATGAAAGGTAAGCTTGCAGAAGTCACAGAAACTCATTGAAAAGTGACTCACATCACTGTCACGAGTACTGAAATATAGCAGAGTTTTTCCACAAAGAACAAATGTAATCCCAAAGGATTTGTGTCCAATGTTACTTATTTACTTCCCATCACAATTAATCACAGATACTTTCCATGTGCCTAATGAAAGGGACAAAAGCACATGCCTTGAGTAACTCTGAATAATTCTATGCATAGTGGTTAATCAGCCATCAAACCAAAACAGAATCAATTGTGATCTATGTTCACTGTAACATGTATCTGGTTTCTGATTTGTTAACGAGTGGTTTGTGCAAATACGAATATATTATTGACCTCTGTCACTCTTTTGATGCATCAGCATCTTCCAGATAAATTTATTTAGAAGTCAAAGAATCAAGAGGAACACAAGCCAAGAGAATTGCATAAACTCCACTCCTTCAGAAATCTAGTCAAACAAATTATTCAGCGAAAGTAAAGGAAGAGGGCCAGTAAGACGTGTGAGAAACAGAACCATTTACAGATGTGTTAGTATCTGGAATCTAGCAGTCCATTCTTAAATAACTGGTATTTAAAATTAGTAATAGTTCATTGGATATCTTCAGCTGCTATTTAGTAACATAAAGAAAAGAATTGCTGTCCACTGTAAGAAGACAAGGATGACTGTGCATTCACTATCTACCTACAAGGGCAAATATACACAATTTCTCAAATAAAGAGGATTCATTAGGCAGAGGAAAACTGCTGCTATAATAGCCAGCATTCTAGTTACAGAAATATTTTTTATAACTCTTAAAGTATTACAATATCTGTAGGCTAATTCTAAAAACAGAAAGCTGTATTATTTGTTTGCACAATACATAAAATCCTGCAGAAGCATAAACAGCTTGCACACAATCAAAAAAATTAAGTACATTTACTGTATTCAAACCATTTAAAATCTCAAGCCACTCTATTTCTAGTTCATTTTTAGTTTACTTATTATATTAAAGCACTGTTCACAGTAGCATCATGATTAAAAGAGGAATGTTTTCATCTTTCGTAATAAAAACAGTGGGGAAAAAAAATTTCCTTATGTTTTTTTAATCTTGTGCTCATTTCAACTAATCAAAGCAAGACAGTATGGTATGCAGTGACTTCTTAGCTGTAACGCTATCTGACACCATGAAGAGACAATGGTGAGTGCAAGATCTGGACAGACCCAGGAAGAGGAATAGTTGCATGTGTGCATGTGTATGTGAGAGAGATGCCTCCTTATTAATATCAATAAATGCAGTTTAAGTTCTATACTACTTTTTTATTATTATTTATTTATTTATTTTTGGTCCATCACAGCCTAAACTCCAGAAACAGAAGAAAGAGACATTAAGATACTTTTAAACATACATAGTGTACCTATACCAAACATTAAAATCTGTATTTAGGAACTTAAAAGGGTAGCTACATTTGCAGAACAACAGAACGCCTTTGAAGTGAATTGACTGGTCTAGACCTTTTACAAACACACCACCTTTGTTCTAGTACAAATATGCTTAGCTGGACAACAGTTTTGATAATGTTTTGGTATTCATTTTTAAAAGTTTTTAATTATAATTTTAATGTTAAAATTATTATGATTTTGTATTTAGTGTTTCATTGGCTAAATCCATATTAAAATAACCAAGATAATATAAAATTGGCACAAAAGATGTAAGATTATATTCTATAACAAATACATTCTAAGGATTTTCTAAATCTTCTAAGTGCTAGTCAGAGTAGTACGATAGTGAGATCTAAGTTATTTTCAATTCCTAAGAGAGAAAAATTAATTGAAACAGAAAGAACCCAGAAAACCAGAGAAAGCATAGTTGTATCACCTCACAGAAGCAGGGCTGTGCTCAGTCAGGGCCACCAACAGTTTGAGAGCATACATTGGTACTGGGTCCGGAGCCATCAGAATGTGCTCATACCTGAAAGGGAAGGGGGAAAAGGGGTAGTAACAGTAAAAAAAAAAAGTCAAGAGATGCGTGTTAAAGAGCTGATATTCAAAATACATCATTTCCCATTTTCAAACTTCATAATAACCACATTGGAAATACAATGCTGTTTGGAAACGTACAAAGCAATAAACAAGACTTAAAACCAGTATTTAAAGATCAGCATCAGAATAACTTTACATGCAGCATTAATAAAAAACACACTATTTTTGAGTGATATACACGATTACAAAATACGTAATAATAGATCTATTTATAAAATATATACCTGTTTCTATAAATATGAATTATATTCAATATATATTTACAAAACATGCATTTTTGTCTATGTGCATGTGATTTATTCATTTATATTACATATTTTTATATACAAAAAACCCTAATCTTCAAGACACAAGTAGAAACCAAGTCTCAAAATATTAGGCAGAAGATTTATTGGGTGCTCATTAACTAGCTTATATATGATTAAGCTCTATCTTTCATTTACATAGTGATTTTTCTCAAAATGAAATATTTTATTTACAGAATACTCACATTGAGCTTTATGTCTATTTCAAATTTCAAAAAATATTGCTTTAACTACAGCATACTTCCATTCTTCAAGTAATATGGTACAGAATACAAAAATACTTCAAATTAATGTTTATTGAGAGCTATAGCGGTGAAGATAAAACTACAAGAAAAACATCTATGAAACATTTCCAAATACCACCTCATGGAAATCTTGGTAAGGGAAAACAGGCTGCTGAAAACCAAAACAGACCTTGCTGTTACTGCTAACATTCCAGTAATGCCCACCCCAACAAACAGAGCTATTTTTATTTTGTTTAAATCAAAACGTATCTGGAGGGCAACAGGGATACAACGATGCAAGATAGAAAGATGTAAGCATAAAAAAGCCACAGACTCAGCCCTGTCAAAACACCGTCTTTGATTGCAAACAGCACTATTCGAAACGTGGAATTAATAGAACTGGAAGCATAAATCTCTTCACTTGCAAGAAAAACTATGAAGAATTAATCAGGTACAAATGAAAAGATGATTTGTAGGAAAACAAGGTAGGTAATCATGTTTTGTGCAACAAAACGCTTCTGCTACATTTTTTCTTTTTGTGTTCTGATAGGAGGAGAGGGTGGAATCAAGCAAATCACCGAGAATTTTACGTCACATCTTGAGATCCCTACTGCAGGCTGAACTGAGGAATCTGGATCACTTCATACCACCTGGGTGTTGGCATGTACCCTACTGCATGCTAGCTCTTCACTGGAATGAAGATCCCCTCTCCCCAGGCACCACACCTCAGCACTCTGATTTACACAGGAAGGAAACCTAGAAGGAGATGTGGTGCTTTCCAGCCAAGTCTCTGACCTGGATGACTCCAAGACAAGGAGGGTGAAGCACACCAGCTGTGCATTCTTGATGTAGCCTGTTGTTGCTCCTTCACAGGGGCTAACATTCCTACACAAGCACAAGCCTATGGGCGATGTGTCACGGCTACTACGTATTAGCTCGAATGTGGTGCTGTAAAGTTGCAACCCACACTGGAGAATCTACACAATTAACCAACTAGAAATAAGTCTTGGCTTCATGTCATCAGTGATTAAAATCTCACCTTTATAAATAACAGATTTCAGTTCCTGAAAGAAAACTATTTCTCATTGGCAACTAAAAAGTCCCTTTCTTCATAAAAGAAGAAAATACTATAATGCATTAGTAGACATTGATCCTGGAAGCCCTACACGTGAGTAATAAATATCCCTACCAAACATAATGGAACTATTCATATTTTTTCAGAAACCATGACTAAATCTTTTGAGGCAAGCAAAGATTCTATCAAGTGACTTAGGTGCCTGAAGTCATTTGCTCACTGCATAAGATATGGATTTAGGTCTTCAAAACAGTAATTCCTAATAGTAATAATGAATGAATCAGCCATGCTAGCTTAAAGATCTGACACTTGGCAATATACTTGCTTTATTATAAACACATCAGTACCTTCCCTTAACAGAGTCCACTTTAAACAATTTTAAGCCTTCTATGTATTACATTTGAGAGAGACTATTATTGTTGTGCACACTTAGCATCCTAATTCCTTAAGATTCAACAAAATCAGTCTCACTTTATTTCCTTTTACTTGAAATTCTACAACCTCCATCCCCCAAGACAACATTAGTAAAGGATATTTCTAAGGAAAGGTGCATGATTCATCAAACCAAATATCTTGTGAGAAAATGCAGATTACTAAAGTAAATGTATTAGCAATTAATATAAACACATTGCCTGAATAAAGGCCATTAGGAACTTCGAACATGTGAATCTTCTTCTGAAGGGAAAATATTCTGTGCTTGAGATACTTTGCTAAATGAATGAGTTCATCCAATGATTTCCCTGCCACTTCAAAACACAAACCAGTTTAGTAACAATAATTTCAGAAAGCATTTTGTAAGACTTCTGGAAACTCTAGGTACTACACTGAAAAGTGTTATTTTGTCAATCTTTCTATAAGCAACAGTGACAAGAGGACCTAAAGATTTGGGGATACAGATTCTCTTAAGCTCTTAAAAAAGACTGAATATTTTATCTACAAACTATCTCAAGTATCCTGGACTTTTTTACTTGCAGAACTGGATTGGCAGTCTACTAAGAACTACATAATATTTCAAATGAAATAAAATTTTATTTACACATTCCTCTCCTTTTGCTGGTTCTGGCTGAAATTTCAAATGCTATCTAACTAGGAGTATTAAGAATTAAATGAAAGAGAGCTGATTTTTCAACTTCTGATTAAAAAAATCTGGATATATAACAGATAGTATTTCCCTTGTATTAATTTTCTACAGCTGAAAGTTTCATTTTGGTTATGAAATGCTCAGGAAAATCACCTTTCAGTGAACTCAAATTTAACAACACTATTTCATTCAATTCAGTCAAAATCCTATGAAGAAAACTTTCTGATCCACAAATGCACAAACATTCAAAGGAATTATAATTTTATTGATGATGCAGAAGATGAGAAAAAAAGTGGTAACCACTGCTTTCCTGCGTTTATCTCAAAATGAAGACCATTTCTATTTCATGCATAGTGACCAAAATTCTATTTCCTATGTTAGTTTTTTCATTTAAACAAATTAACTTGTGGAAGATATTTATGAAATACATATACAAATGAGTATCATTATAATCTTCATTAAAAAGAACATCATATGTTAAATCCAGATGATCCTCCCTCCCGTATTCATCAGCTTTCAGTTTTTAAAAAGCAGAATCAAAATGGTTGAAATATCTACTTCCCCAGACAGACTGCCATGAACAAACAGCCATTGCATGCCTCCTCTCCTCTTTTGACTGTGAACCAGCTGAGTCACACACTGTCTCGTTCTTTGTCCAGCAATAGAAAGACTAAACAACATCAGCAAATAAACACCTCTTCAGCCTCCAAATACAAGCTAGTTATCTCTTCACTTCCAGTCTCAGAGTTTTCAAGTAACTCTTACTTCTTGGGATAGAGCTTTACATTATTTTTATGAGTAGGTTACACTGAACCTTAGACCTATTATCTCTTTAGATTTAGGCCAGACTCCTTTGCATTCTGATAAAGCTTCTTTTGAGAACTGTAGAGAACGTATGAGGATTCATTCCTACCTCCCATCAACATTTTCTTATCCATACCTAGAACACTGCTGAACAAAACCTACCTTTCATGTCCTTTGACATCGAAAGCAGCTGCTTTGGTCTTTTCTTAGTTTCTTTTTTACTCTTCTCCAAACTGAGTTTTGAGGCTTTCAATTCAAAACTGAGTTTGAGTTTTCTTTTCTACAGAAAATCCTCAAATCCTCCTCTGCTTTTTGTTCCCTCTGTGCCTTCTTGCATTGATTACCTGCTCCCCACAGGTGAACATATTTACTAGGGATTATCTCAACCCACAGGTTCAAATAATGTATTAAATATGCAGATACTAGTTAACTCTTTCTGAATCACTGGAAGATTTACGTACTGTTTTACTATGCTCCTAAGCTAGAGTAAAATTTGTTTATACCAAGTTGCAATATATTCCAAATATGATAAACTTCAGTATTTATTTTCTTGAGATAATCTCAAAGTTTTCCAAATACAAGTATCATCATCTCTACTGGTGAGATAAAGGAACTGATTCAGGAAATACTTCAAGCCTGGAACCAACATTCTGAGCTACTGCAAGACCCTTTTCATGCATATATTCTATTTTTAAAATAATACTTCCGGTTTCCATTTTAATTCATATTGATAAACTCTGTATTTCCCAGAGAAAAAAAATAATGTGAAGAAAGGTGTGAAAATCAGCTTCTCTATTGAGCTCTAAGATTTCCTTCCCAGTCCCTCTCACAGAGAAAAGATTACACATCTTGCATGGACAGAACTTTGGTCCTCAAACTGTAAGAACATCGGTCAATTAAAAAGAGACAGTCTCATTTTTGGGGAAGGCACTGTGTTTCTGATCATAATCCAGCATCCATTTCTCCACCCTTCTGCCCTTCTCCACTTAATGTAGGAGTGGGGAAGAATTTTCTCACTTAGAGCAGCTAAGTATTTAAAATTATTAACTTTTGAGGACCACACATTAAAATACACTGTAACATTAGAATAATGTGAAAGATAAATGATAACTCATCTTGCATTCGTGCTTTCCTTCCTTCTACTCACAGATGTTACCAGCTCACAGTATGCATGTGCACACACAGAGAGCTGTCTTTATGCTCACCTGCAAGTCATTTTGAAATGACAGGCCTCATTTGACCATAAACCATATAAATTAAGTTCCGAGCTGCATCTGGCCCACAGGCTGTAGTTTCATCTCCTCTTAAGGTTTTTTTCAGCTGCTTGGGGCAGCAGGGAAGGAAAGCCATTTAGAGGCAATAACTCCTGAGTGGATCATGCAAGACTAATTCATTCTGTACTATTCATTTTTAAAAAGTTATATGCCATTCCATATGATTTCAGAACATCTTACGTGAGGGCACAATATCCAAAACAGACAAAAAGGTGTTGCTGTTATAATGTTCTGACTGTATTAGTGGAACAAAGAGGAGGATTTAAATCACAGTCTGAAAGCTAGGGGAAACTTGTTTTACTTCAAGAGCAGCCAGAGGCACAGTATCAGAAATGAGTGTCACACAGAAGCTGTGTTTGTGTTTCGTATATGACAAAGTACTAAATAAACCTATGAGAGAGACACTGGGCAGAGAACTCTGGCAGCAGTTAATTGCTATTCCTCTTTTCGTTTTGCCATTTAAACATAAAAAGCATAGATAAAACAAATACGCTGTCAAAATGGATTGAGTATCAAGTTATTCCCGGTTACAGGAGCAATATTATACTTACTGAGGCAGCAATAAATCTCTAATGAGAGACAGAAGCTTGCTGTTTGAGTCGAGGCTCTCCCCTTTCTCCTCAGCCATGACCTCGTAGCTTAAAAGCAGTGATGTGGCTTCTGAGAGCAACCGCAAGCTGAAGAGTCTCCATTCCACTTGAAAATAAAGGTGCCAAGAATGTGACCACACTGAAGTCTAATTAAAACAAAATGTGGAATTCATGGAAACTGTAGTTGATGTGGCCATATACTTACCATTCTGACTGTGGACCAAAGAAACTAGTGGTGGGAGGATACAGTCTACAACCTAAAACACAGAATTAGAAAGATCTGGCTTAGATTACTCACAGGGAAAAAAATAGAAGAGATACACACTATCATCTGTGTTTATTCCACTGCTAGAGTCCTTGATCAAAGAGATGAATAATCATGGAAATTCATCCATAATCACACATATAAAGCCAAGTTCACTTTTCTCTGGTAAGCTGTCATTAAGTTAAAGATAGTAATGTACTTATATATAGAAAACAACAGTAATTTTGGTATAATTCATTAAGACTGAATTTTAATTTAAAATATAGAATTCAGTGCAGATTTAAGATATTAAGAGTATTAGAATATCTATTAATCCTGATGCTTTAATCTCTAAACTAATCATCAAATAGAGTTCAGAAGAAACATCCTTCTAAAACAATAGTCCTGCATAGAACTAAAACACATAAGGAAAGATGTATTATTTCTAATGAAATATTCTTCAGCTTAGTAGAGTCTTGATAAAATTTTAACTTCCCCCATTCTGCTAGTACAGTCTTCCATTAAAATTTAAATTTACAGACTTAAGATTTGAAATATGAAAAAAAAATAATCCAGTCAATTCTTTATTGTCCATGAATGTATTGTTACAGATTAATCATCTGTCACAGGACTAGTCAGCTTAGTTCCATCTGAAATCAACTTACAGCAAACTAGGCTACAACTCAGTTTTATGTATCTAATATTACAAAAATAGTGCATCATTAGTATTCTCCATAAAAGAATGAACTGCTAAGTCTTAAGTCATTGGTAAAACGTAATTTATTTGGACAGGACATGATTTGGTTTTAGGGAGAGGATGGACGGACAGCCCTGCAATTTTTAAGTATGCATCACAGACACACAGCTTGTCCTTGCATTTATTTATAAAAATAAAATTACTGTGTAGGTTCTCACTACACCATGGACAGGATTTGGTGTAACAAGACAGCTTCATAATCTTCTATGTGGGTTTTTATAGTGATTAATACTAGAAAATAGAATTTCTCTGGATTTATGCAGCTATTAATAAACTTCCAGAGAAGCTGAGGGTCACTAAATGAAGTTGGCCTCCAGTCAGCAATAACTACAATTAGCAACTATTTCATTGCTAGTTGGTGGTTTCTGTTAAAGGAATCTCTGACATTAACAGATTCATTTAGCCTAGCGTTTTGTCATTTCTGAAAAAACTAACAAAAGATGCCTTTGTTACATACTTTCAATAAAAGAGGTAAAGTTCTCTGCTTGAGGTATGGAAGTCAAACCACACTTACAAGTACAAATAGCCTTTATGATATATAGTGCTATATATCATAGATCTAGTGACTTTTGTAACACTTCGTAATTTTGAAATATATCAGTCTTTTCAGTTAATATGCAATAAGATAAATAACAAACCTACATTGCAATCTCACAACTCTGTTAGGCAGGTTTCTAAACTGTTCTACAAATGGTAATCTATCAGTTACAACATACCTGTGTGGTAGGATTAAAAAAAAAAAAAAGTATGTACTTAAGGTCTTTCAGTCAAAAAAAACAGTTCAGTCTACTACAATGCTTCTCAAAAGAAGTACATTTAAGTGATAAATTAAAGGTGTGAGACAGAAAAGAGGCAAAAAAGCAGCTCTAAATTGTCTGAAGCAATGTAGGGACTCAGAATATTATTAATATTATGCAGCAGCAGCATTGACTCAGACTGACACGGATTAAGAGGTGGCAGTATACAGCACCATGATGCAACTTCAATTTCTACAACTCCTAATCTTCTTTCACTTTCATCTAGTAGTAACGGCAGTCTTTCCACATTAGCAAGTGCAGTTAAGCCAGCCATAAGTCTTTCCTAAGATAAGTATATTTTAAACTGTCATTGTAAAGAAGATTCTTTAGGTCTTGTAGTAGCTTTTTCTGACCTTTTTCTAACATGAACTCCAATTTTGGCAAACAAACTATTTAGAATGGAATTCTCCATAGCTGGTGTTGGCCTCATATCAGTTTGGTGTGGTGGGGAGAGTGACTAAATGAAGCACTAATCCTATAGAAAATTATTTTGTGATGCTAAAGCATATTATAATGCATATGCTGAGAGGAGAAGCAAGTATTAAATTGCACATGAACCTTAAATCAGATACTTCCTAACTCTGCAACTCTCATCTTCTCTCCATGCCATTCGGATCACTGTTTTTTACTCACGTGTACACAAATTTGTAAACAAGATATGAACTAAGTAAGCAATTATTTAGGTGAAATAAACTGAAGTGTAAGAGTTCATAAAATATTTTTCATTCACCTGTGAATTGCACAAGTTTCTGTAAGTTATGTACACAGAAGCATGGTATATTGGCATTTTCTAGAGAGACTACAAGAAATTGAAGAATACTTAAACAAGGATTCATTTTTTTCTTCTTTTAAATGACTGCTGATATCTCTGTGGAATAAAATCTCCATATATGCATGAAGGTAGTAAGATACTGCTCTTGTTTCAGTCTTTATCACTAAGATTGCTTTCAAAAGAATGTGGGAAATATTCTTCTTTAAGCCTAAACAGACTAGAAAGTTTGAATATGATCATAGCTATATCTGAGTTTCTAACATCTTCTAAATAGCATGATGACCAGTTCATGATAAATCCCTAACTGCACAGAGCCACCATTGTAAAATTCTGTAATGATGGTATTCAAAGGCTACACTGCTACAACTGTGCTCTTATCAGTACTGAAGTAGCAATTAAATACTAGAAACTTCTATAGATACTCCATGCACATCTCCCAGCTATAATAAATACGTATAGGACCAAACAAACATTTTGCTCAGACCTGGTAATCCTGTTCCTGACAATTGGAACGAAGTAGAAAAAGAGTAGAGGAAATAGACCAAGCATAAAGCACAACTCTAGTTTCTAGTAAAGTAATTCTTGAGTTAGGAAACTTCCTAAGCTGATGCTGTATCTGTATTTTTGCATTTAATAATGCTTACTAGCCTTTTCTCCCATATATTTGCCCAATCCTATCTTAAATGCATTTATACTTTTAGCATGTGCAATACCTACAGCACTGAATCCCACACTTCAGTTATGCCTTATGAAAAGGCACTTCCTTGTTTATTTTAAAGTATTTAACATGATACTCACTTCTTATTTTATGAAAAACATGAATAATTATTTCCAACTCATTTTCCTATGCCATTCATAATTTTACACTCTCAAGTCTTTTGTTTCCAAGCTGAAGTTCTTACCTCCTCAGTGCCTCCTCGCACCATTGAGCTGTATTTTTTCTTGTTAAGCTTCACTGCCTTTGAGAGTGACTGACCACAACTGCATTCAGTATTCTAGGCTTGAGGGCACCATGGACTTACCACAGCATAGTGATGTTTTCTGCTTTTTTATCTGATCTTTTACCAGTCATTTCTAATAATCTAGTTGTCTTTCTGATTACTGCTGAGTATAAAGCTATCATTTTCATAGAAAAATGATGCTAAAACATCTCCAGAACAGTTACAAGGAGTTTAGAGCCTGACACTGCATATGGGTAGTTAGAATGATTTTCCCCATGTGCATCACTTGACATTTCTCAGTATTGAATTGCATGTCATTTTATTGTCCTTTCACTCAATATCTTGAAACCTTCTGCAACTCTTCTGTCAGTTTTAATTTTCCCTACTGTGAATAATTTAGTGTCATCAGTCAGTTCTGTCACCTCCCTACTCATTCCCTTTTCCAGATTAGTTATAAATAGCACATGTTGCAACACAGATCTTCGTACGGCACCATTCCTAATATACCTACATTTTTTAAAACTGATCTCTATTCTCTACTTAGCAAACTTTAACTAGTACAAAGAAGCTGACCTATCAGAGGGTAAGAGGGAAAGGCCACTGAGGGATTTGAAGGTCTTTGGTGCATGACTTTGTCAAAAACTTTTTAGAAATCCAAGTATACTATACAAAACCAGAACATCTGTCTCCATAACATTCACTGATTTCTGCAGGGAAAATTCTACCAGTGAAGTATGAGCACTCAGCAAAAGCCGTACTCACTTTTCTGCAGTATTTTATTGCTTAGAAAAATCAGATCTTTTGAAAGCAAGGCACAATTTTAATATAAATTCTGCAAAGTCTGTTTGTTACTTTAACCCTTTAAAGAGAAAGAGAGAAAAATCCACAGTTTCAGAGTAGTTAAGTATTCACCAGCTACTATGAGGGGCTTGAAAGAGAAAACTGTAATTTCAGTCCTTCTATGCTTGTCTCCACGGTTCAGGAGACGTCAGATACAAGGCCTGCACCCTAAACGTATGTGCCTGCTTTGTTAGAAACAAACGTTACCTCAGCTTTACTCAACCTCAACAAGCAAAGCCCAAGGTCCACAAGTACCCACTAAAAAGCAGTGGCTAACAGTGGAAGGATCCGATACACTAAATCCCTATTTAGCGGGACGTACCTGCTAAGAATGATAGTGGAGAACTAAACTTCGATTCGCTTGTGCTAGTCAGCAAGGATAAATTCAACTATTCAACACATAGATGCAACCATCATGTATTCATGGACTAGTATATAACCAAACTTATCTGTTATTCCTTACAACTTAGGCTGTGTTTATATGAATAGCTTAACCCTCTTCCCCAGGCCATATAACTTACCTTAATATGGTTAACACGACCAACTTCAAAAAAATCTCTCCCTTGATTAAAACCGAGTTTCAGGGCTCTTCAAATCAGTGCTTAAGGCCAAAGTCTTGACGTTTGGCATTACCCTCAGTGGACAGAAAAACTAAGCAGGCTTAAAGCCTGGTCCAGTAGCATTTGTGAACCATGCTGTTCTCAAGTGAAAATCAGACCTCAGAATTAAACTTACATAAAGAAACTAAGCTATCCGTTCCATCCAGCTATCGTATCCAAACTTGCAAGTGACTAAGCCCATTACTTTACTTGCAGAGATTTTTCTAGAGGTATCTGGTTCTTTTCAGTGTGCATACGTTTAACTTACAACTACTGACAAGTATCTTCTCCTTATCCACTATTCAAAGCAGAACGTACCAAAGCAAAGACCATCATGTCTCAAATCCTTTTTTCCAGTCACATGTAAGATCCACAACATCCAACATCACCTTGACATTTATTCTCATTAAAATTCCACATACAAAGTTATTGCTGAAAGTGACCATGGAATAAAGATCATGCTACCTTCAAATTTCTTAAAGCATTTGCTGCAGGCACAGCATGCTCCTCAATGCTTTAATATTACCAGTAATCTCCCAGAACGTAATAGAAAAAATAATCTAATGCATGTTAGAATGAACTGGGGAGAAGGATGACATTTCTGTAATTTTTTCTGAAAAGTCTTCAGAACTTCAGAACCTTCATTGAAGGGTTTTTTTTTTCTTACTTCTGGGAAGAGACAGCATAGTGATCGACTGACTCAATATGTCAATTAGTACAAAACTGTTTTCACAAAAAAGTCTCATGTCATGTAGATTAACTTAATGGACAGAAAGCCACATAGGGTACAGAATTTTAATCTACTTGAAAAAGGAAAGTGATTGAAGAAATGCTGTACAGTATGTTCATATAGACATACTCTACATGGACAAAATTAAGGTGTCAGTGGTTAGATCAGAACAGCCTGTGGATGAAGAACACCACTGATGCTGAACCAAAAAGCACTTGCAGAAGTTTCTAACCCTTGTGTTGTCATCTTCAGTGAAAATAACTCTTCTATTGACAACCAATAGACTTCCATGTCATACTCCTTTTCCCTTGACTTCCCATCAAGCAGATCATCACGTTTGGACCGCTTTTAATTTAGCCTGATTTTTAAAAATAAGTTTTAAAACCTTGAGGTGGAGAATCACTACTAGCAACTTTTGCCTCAACCAGAGAAGAACTTTCATACTTCGGGTAAAAGATCATCTGTGCATTACACAGATCATTTTTGGGAGCTAGTTAGACTATAGAAAGGACTCCCACAGGAACTGCCTGCCCTCATGAACCTCATCACTGCTCAAAGTGCTCTGAATTAGCATACGTCCTTTTTTCAGGCAAATAAATATATTTAACAGAGAAGAGAAAAATGCAAATGATACAGTTAGCACAGAATTCTTCCATTTAATTATACTTAAACCATTACCAAAATTTGAAAATAAAATATTGTTATAATACTTATATCTGAATTTAATACTAATTTTTCCATTTTAGGTATATGGAGGAAACAGGCAGTTGGACTTGTGTCAGTTTAAGAAACCAGGGTTTATATTCTACTGCAGTCTACAGAGACTCTTCTTGATGGCCTTGATTATAATAGTTGTGTACCTGGAAGTCTATAGTTTCGTCAAAACTTGCAGAGTCATACTTACTGCTAGTCTTTACTTTATATCTTGTAAAAACACGCACAATTGCATTCAAAATGAAATTAATGCTCAGTACTGGCTTTCATTTGAGCACTTTTGATTAATTTCCCTTGAATTTATTACACTTAGCAACGTATAATACAGCTAGTCCCCACAGAAATTAATCTCCTCAATAACTGACTTCAGGTTGATGGTAATCAGAAATCCGACCACAAAAAATAATGATAATTTATTCACTTTTCTTTGTTCAAGGTACAAACATAGAGGCAAATCAAACACAAACTAAAATCCAGAACATTTAATTCTTTTCTTCTCAAAGTGGAAAAGAACTTGAAATGTTGCTCTTAAATTCCTGTTAACTTAGACAATTTCCATTGCAGCTCAACTAAAACCAGAACTGAAATGAAAAACTTACTGGTTCTGCTTGCTTAAAATAACCTCACTTTTTATTAAATTCATTAAACTTTATTAGAAATGAATTTAATTTCTGATTAGAAACTTTAAAGCAATGTCACAGCTGTAATGGGAAAAATGCATCCTCTCAAGAAGGTTTGGGTGTAACTCCACCCCCTCCATAAAATGGTATTTGTAACCAACTTTGTCTAAATGAGCAATCCAGGCTCCAGAGATCAGCCTAGGATACATATTTCTCTCCAGTAAAAGAGTTTCCTATTAACCACTGTCATACTTAAATATTGATCTGGAAGCTCAAACATGTCTTGCTTCAACTTTTTGAAAAACACAAAGTTCCACTGGGTGCTGGCATTTATATTCATAGATTCTAGTCATGCTCAGCAAGCAGCAATTAGAAGATATCCCTTGAGTAACAGCAATTCTAAAAATATTCTGGATGCATCATAGAAGATAAAGCATCACTTTCTGCTAGAGTAATGTATGCTGTACATTCAAGTATAATTAGCACACTAGACTTCATAAATAGTATTAAACTAATTACTGTTTGCACCACTAGTGGCAGATGTGGTTAGAGATTATTAATTACAGTGGACAATTTCTTGAATTTAACATACCAAATACAAGGCAATTTCTTCACTTTATTTTGTGTCTGAATGGCTATTCGCTGAATTTCAGGAGGGCTCTTTTAAACTAGGAAGAACCGTTACTTATGAAAATGAGCAAGTGAAGTAACAGATTTTATTTTTTTTAAAAAAATGTCCATTGTTCATTGACAAAGATAATTTTTTTTTAGTTAATAAATTTCAATATATGCCTACACTAAATGAGGGAAACTATTCAACAGAAGTGCTACGTGTCATACATTTACAAGCACTGGTCAGGCAGGAAGTTTTTTCTCTAGCTACATAAGGTTAACCAATGTGTTCAGATGGATTTTAAATAAACTCCTAAAACTTTCAACTTACGTGATGAACTAAATTGTTAAACAGAAATTTAGGTACTTAAATAAAACTCATCTACTAGTAGCCAAGACTTACTTAAAAAAGAGGGTAAGATAGTCATTCCCTGTCTGCTGAATGTGGTGATGGGAGCAGGGGAAGACGGGTTGTAAAGGGGAGCTGTATCCTTGGTGCTATTTTTCCAGGGAAAAAAAACCCAGATCACTAAAGTATAAACCGCTAGGGGAATTTTATTTAAGGTGTTGACACAAGGTATTGCACTTTCAGTAAATGTTGATGGACCTCTATAAAAAATGGTACATATTTCTGCCAATATAAGACACACTGATAACGCACAGAAGTAAAACGATTATTTTTTAAAATTGAGGTGATTCTAGAATGGTACAGTCATAATACAGTGACTCGCAGGCTGACAGGCATTTAAGGAGATACCAATAGGTATTCATATCGAACTGTTTAATTCTGTACTATTTCCCTTCTGACTGTTAATTGGTTAGATTTTTGTGCCTAAGGATCATTTTCTTGAATATCACTGTTTAATGAAAATAAAGTCTGAATGCCTTGCTGCTGCTTTGAAAAATAAATCTCTCTATAAACAATAAGGATTTTTCCTGTCAAATAGAACCACAATACATTTTAAGCCATAATTTAAACAGTTTCTAAATCTTCAAAACATTCTATTACCAATGGAATTAGGCCAATTACTCCGCAACTATTTAATTTGTTGCCAGACTTACCGTCAAGCGATGGATTGTCAACAAGACAGGATGCTGTGTTACTGCTTCAAAGGTTGATAAAGTAGTCTTAACCAATTCTTCTGATGCAGCTTGCCCTATTAGTAAAAATCATTGTATTTCTTTATAAAATGTAACAGCTATAATGCCTGCTTATAAAAGTACAGCAGTATCATAGGTTACCTTACCTATTGCTCCATCCAAGTTTGTTTCTCCTGAATCTATTGATCTGATAAAATTCTACAGAAGAAGAGGCATTTATGTTAAAACACTTCAGAAACAAAAATTAAGAAGCATAATCACTGAGTAATTACAACATGACATCCTTTAAGGGACTGCGTAAATACAAAATGTTAATGCACCTATATTAGGAAATTGTCATAATAATTTAAGACATGAAGGACTGAAAGCATTCATGACCAAGCTGTTATAACACAATTTTGCAAGTCTATAATGCCGCTGGACACTTAAACACAGAGTACAGCAAGAAATATTACTCTGACTAATGTCAGGAATGATAACGTTTCCAGCTAAATAGACAGTAATTAAATGTCTTTATTATTAACAGAAAACTGCAATTTCTAAGAAGACTTTGAACTACTGCGGACATGGCTATGTTAAAAGAACTCACTAAAAAGACAAAAGACTGTCCAGAAAATGCAATTTTCTGTTATTTGTACCATCTTTTTGATCTCCATGCATATTAAACACACTATCAATACAGTTACAAACAGCAGAATGCAAAAAATGCATAACCTTCAACTGAAAATCACCTAAATTAGTCATCATTTTGAGGAACAGGAAAAATGAAATATTAATAAACTGCATTAAGTAAATATTGTACAATTAGACCCACTATTCTTTTGCTTTTTAATCTCTATTTCATTCTTTTGCTTTCACTTCTATGCATAGCTTCTATACAAAAATGACACTTGTTTTATATTTCATGATCAATTAAAATTTTATTATATATTATATTGGCAGAAGTGTCTACATGGGCTACCTTTTTCTCAGTATGGAAGAAACATCTGAAGGATTCTTCTCTAATTAAAAATACAGTTAGAAACTAATTATATATTTCATAATTTAAATGCATCTTCAAGGCAGTCATAAAAAACAACTCATTCTATTAAAGAAACAGTTATTTTAATCTTCCTGATCATTTGAAAAGTATTACTAGTTATTACCTAATTAACTTGTTTTAGAAGAGAGCAAATTATTTTGTTCGCTCATTTAAGATAGTTTCACACCTAACCATAGTCTCAAGACCAATTTGGAAAAAACAATATAGTTTGTGCAAAAATTGTTCTGGCTACTACTAAAATTAAGGAAATAAGCATATTATAAACACAAGAAGAAGATGTATTTATACAGAAAAAAAAAAACCTATCTGGGTTTTTTTAAGTAATGGAGAGGAATAGTGTACGTATTTCGCTATAGGTGAGAGTCTGTGCCCTATGTACTCCACTAGGAGTCTACTATTAGCTGTGCCTTTAGGGCAGAGCACATTCTCCATGTATTTCTGTTCACTGCTGAAAACATGAAAGGACTGTCCCGACTCCCTCTCAATCTCTTTGCAGAACACTACTGAAATTACAGTGATGACAGAAATAACTTCAAAGCAGCAAGAAAAAAAAATTCTCAATGAACAACAGTTACAGGAAAATAATTACTGTTTTCCATACAGATACCAAGCACATATCTTTCCATTCCTAACAATTTCTTATTGTTAAGAGTAAGATTTCTGAACAAATCAGAAAACAAAACAAAACAAAACATCCAAATCAAAAACCTGAAGGACTGACTTGCTAAAATCTTAGAGGCCTCAATTATAGCACATTACTTTGAAAAAGTACAAGCTGATGACTGAATGTCCCTTTATAGATGTCAGTGGGAATGTTGCTGAACACAGAATTCCAGAGTAGGCTGTTGCCTGGTAGAATGGATAGTTACTCTTCCAGAAGTAATTACATTAGTCATATCATAACAGAGTTATACAAAATAGATTCAAATATGATATTCATTTTTTTTAGATATATTACTTCCCCTCCCTTTTTTAAGAGTAAATTGAAATAGTATATGTAAGCTCCTGAATAGCCTTGTTCAATGGCGACAGAAGGACAAGATGCAGGAAATATTCAATAAAGTAGTATTTCCCTCCTTGATCTGAGAGGAAAGCTATACTAGTATAACTAGTCTCACTTCCTCAGTCAGTAGTTCAAGCAAGCTGCAGTAACATCAAAAGAAAACCTACATTGTACCTGGTCTTCTGTATCTACATTGTTGACAGAAGAATTTCACCTTCTAGAAGGTGGATCCAAAATCATTAATAAAGCTACTGCCTAGTTACAAATGCTTCAAAGAGATAAAAGGCTTTGTAATTCAACATCTACAGTTTTTAATTTTTTTTCTTCATTCTAATGCTAATTTTTATACAAATATTTTAGTATAGATAAATTAAACACCCATTTCTTGGAATCAAGAATCAATGGAGAAAGAGAAGGGAATCTGAACAGTAAACTTGAATCTAGCTGTTTACGGCGAAGCATTTCTTCATGCTATTGTGGAATTAAATTCCTAGTTGTCATTTATGAACCCATGTACTTAAAAGTATTTGATAACTCTGATATGCAACTTCAGAATATGCTTTTTTCTCATTTAGCAAAAAAAATTGTTTTCCTACAAGGAAATTACATTACAACACTACTTTTTAATTTTTCCTATACAATCTTATGGCACAGTTAAAAAGTTTATTTTCTATTACTAATGTCATAAATAGGTTGTAGATGTCAATGTGAAGCATATATCTAAGCTCTGTAGCTTACAATACTCAACTAAATACAGTGTAAAAGTACTGGCAAGAAGAAAAAGGTGACAAAAGGAAAGAATACTTTAAAACTAGGCTAGATTAAAATTTATCTTTCATTTCCACTCATAAATACAAGCATAAAATTATAGAAAGAATATTCTGTGTAATTTAGAGCTAAACTTTTCTACTTTAAAACAAAGCACACAGGAAGTTCTCGGCTTATCAGACATGTGCAGAGTTTCTCTATACTTGAACACAGGATAGCATATTTTCCATTTGAGCCAACAGATTACTAAAGAAAATATTTTCTGATAATATATACAGTTTTGAATATAATAATTTAAACTTTATATTCAGAATAAAGTTCTCTCTCCAATTTATAATTTTACTGTAAATTTATTACATTAAAATAATACATAAAAATTTATTTGTACATATATTTTGTAAACAAGATTTAACTTAGATGGTTATACTCACAAGTAAGGTCCCATAGTTGAAAAGAAATTCCTCTGTGACTATCTGGGGACGAAATACCTATGTGAATTTACAAAAGTTGAAAAAACTACATTAAAGGTGCATCTTACGATCAGAAAAAGTAAAACATGTATTTCACAGCCATGTTAAAAAAAGAGGTCAAAGTATGTATTTGGTTCTATCATTAGAGTTGTCTTACAATGCGCAAAAACAAGGCTTACATCTTTCATGGTGTTACATAGCTGGAATACTCATCAACATATCTACGCATTAATAGAAGTTCTATTTTATCCACTCAAATCATGATCAGCAGAGATTAGATTTTGGGAAACTGCAAGAGTTTGTCCTTTGTTTAACAATTTTTTAGGAAAAAAAAAGAAGTCTACCTGGGACGTCACAAGATGAAGCACTACAGGCATCATAGGAAGGCACATCTTCAGCTGTTTGGCCTGAACTGTTGATGGGTGTTTACGTCCAGAGACGTTAGTTAAGGCAGTGAGAATGTCACCTACAGAAAATAACATTTCACACTGATCTAACATAATTGCTTTGCTAAACAACATCAAATAACATGTAAAACATCTCTGTTCCAGTAGCCTCTGTTCAATCCCTTCTTCTCCCTCCTGCCAAACGTAGTGTTCATGTGACTGCATGATAAATCAGGCTGATCCAGCACTATTCTTTCCTAGCTCAGTGTTTAGCCAGGCCAATTTCCTGCTCTGGCCACAGCGACAGGTGTGCAAATGCGACCTCTGGCAAAGATAGAAATATAAGGCAGATGTAGAAGCAACGATGAAATTACCCGTCTTGGTATGGTGGACTTACACTGGCTTTAGGTGGCTACACATGCATGGAATTATACTCTTGAAATTCTGTGGATGCAGTGAAATAAAAAGCAAAATTCTCATGACTTCCAGTTGACCAAGAGCTGAACTCATCATGATTAGTGGGTGACATAATGCTCACGCAGTATATTCTTCCTGCAGCATAGTACCACTGGAAGAAAGAAATAGACATCCTTCCCGTCCCCTTCCAAAAGATCCCTCCACCAGCCATGCACACACACACATTTTCATACACAAGTTTAACAATGGCACGAGTGACCTAAAGCAATGGGAATTCTCACATTCTCATAAAAGAGGCAGCAGTAGGTCAATGAGAGAACTTAGTTGCCTCCATAACAAACTTCAGACACAATAATAAGGGAACAGAATTTTAACTGCAATAGTGAAAATTACATGTCAAACTTCAGAAGAGACATATAAAAATCAAGGAATGTTATGCTGGATTTGTGTTACATTAACTATTGTCTCAGAAAAGCAAGACCTTTTCTGCAAGAGATAACAGAAGCAGCAGAAGAAAAGTCACAGCTCATAAGCAAAGAAGGAAAATTCTGTCCCTATAGCCTGAAATATTAAAAGCTAAATCCTGTCTTGACTGATCGTCTACTACTTTTTTTCCTCTAATGAGAGCGCTGCACAAAACCGTAAAAGAGAAATCACATAGACATTAAACAAATAAAGGACAGGATTCGGTATTTTACACAATTTTCATGCCAGAAAAGGCCTTTCCTTTCAGAGTAAGTCACAGAGTTTATTCATGTTGAATAATACCAATGCTTTTCTTCTGCTCCCATGGAGTTCGATTTTCAACATAAGCAGAAATGACACAGCCTGGCACTGCAGTAGGTTGTAAAAATACCTAGCCTTAAATATTTGACTCGTTCTATCATACACTGCTACAGAAAAAGAAAGCATTGTCTAAAACTCTCCAGCTATATAAACCAAAATGTTGTTTTTTCATCAACACATTTTTATTTTGAATTACCCACTATTCTGTAATTCAACAAGACCTCTCTGTGGTT